CAACAACATAACTTTGTATAATGTTCACAATAAATACCGTACAATTAATATACAAATCCATATATTGATTCTCTCAGAACACACTATTCAACTCTCATATAGTCCTTGAAATTACTACCTGCGATATACTTTCTAATATCCCTGTACACACCATACAGTTTTATATAGATATTACTTAACTTAAAATTTCATTTTAAATCAAGAATCCTCTGAACTTTTTGAATGCCTAAACTTAAATCTGATAGAGTAAAGGACACACATATTTATTCACGCCCACTATAGGATTCCAAAATACAATACACGGTGTTTAACTCAACAAGTTCTTTAAAACTTCTGTAACGGTATTATTCCAATGGACAAACAAGTAATATTCATATATTCAATAACGTGGAGATAATTATTCCTACGGAGATACCAGATTCTGTCAAGTAACTAGTTAGATTAGTCTACTTTAGCCTTGAACACTTCGCTAAACAAATTTGGGTCATTAACCCTCGCCAAATCTGGTTGTGATTCACGGCGTGATCACAATAATAATTGAACAGTTTTTGCGACCGTTGCGCGTTGGTCGACGACGTACTAAAATTGCTCTTTTGTACTGAGGTAGTATTTGAAAAATATACAGAAGGATAATTATATTTTATTTGTAGGTGTAATAGGCGTAGGAAGGTAGTTATTAACATTATACCAATTCGTAATCAGATAACACGTAAGTTCAATTTAGGGAAAATAATCTTATTCCCAGTAAGTGAAATTATTATGTTCTACACGGCCCATTTCTTGTTAACTATTCATAAGTGTTCTCGAAAACGTGAGCCATGTCATGTCGTGTATTTTTTGAGTATTACAGAATATTTGCAGATTTATAAGTATGTAAGATGATTGCATATGGTCTAAACAGTCCACATGCGTCGCGCTCACAATAATTCAAAATAAAAAATGTCCTTCGGAGCGACCTTTTAACCGATTCTTTACCACGACGCATCACAGCTAGCTATGTACCGCATGTTATCGGTACTTATGCTTATGGAAAAAAGGCTACAACGGAATTTTATGTACTCTCCAGCCGGAGCGGTTCTTCATCGCTGTCTTACGTTTTATAATACGTTAAATGCTAACAGCGTCCGATAACCCCGTCTGCAAGGTCATATTAGCCCGCCCCGTTGGCCTGCTAGTTTTATTATTGCTGCAGACAAATATGACTACCACCTCTCGATTTAGGTATATATATCTAATACTTTAAAATGAGACCTTAATTTATTTAAACTCGTTGACTTCTACTTACATCTATCACGAAATACATTTGAAAGTGTAATTAGAAGGATCAAGTATAACCTACTTAATTAATCAAACATAATGTTGCACTATCATAGGCTTGCGTATTGTTATGCGTTTATAGTAATATTGTAAAGTTAGTTGGAACAAGCCGTAATTAATCATTTCGGTCTAATATTTTGCTTATGATTAATGCTTCAATAACTACTAGGACTTGTTCCAGCCGCGAAATGTGTAGAGGTTAATAATGTATTGCATGCATAGAGATTGCTTGATATTTTAACTAATAATTATCTGTAACGTGTTACTCAAACAAAACTTCAATTACTGTACCTAAATACTTATAAAGGACCGTGAAGTGGAAATTAATACTCATTACTTATTTATTTATTTCCGCCTCGATAACTATTTAACGCTTCAGATGAGAAAATATGTATCAGAAAGATACGCTACCAAACAAAGACAAAATGTAGCCTCATTTTTGAGTCGTTTTATTATAAGTCTCCTCGCATACTAGGCAAACAGTTAGATGATACTAGATATTAACATAAGTTCCAATAATCATCAAACTCGTATAATGTTTCATGTTTGAGTCTAAATTAGCTGTGTATTAAGTCGGGCAGTCGCTCGAGAATTGCTAATTGTTGCCAAAATTTGATGCGGAGAAGACTGCCGTTAATGGCCAAATAATGAGTGTTCGGTTTCAAGGTTACACCGACTGTTCCTCGACAGGAAACACTGAGTAACAGAATAGATATGGACGCGGTAATTACAAGGCCTTGACTTACCGTTTTAGAATAAAAACCGCGCTGTTTAAACTGTATCGCATACGTTGTCATACATGTGACTTTGTTTGTTTTTATACACACGAGGCGAAACTACACAGGGAAGAAAACATAACAAAGAAGAACCAATCAATACATGGACTTCTAAGTTTTTTTTTTACATTATATTTGAGTTAGCATCTTGTTTTCATTTAAAAAAATGTACTTGTGACGCATTACGCTTGTAACATATCAATTAACGAGTATGACGTCAGCAAAAATCACTAACGGTGGTCATCTAAGTGCTGATGTAACCATGACCGTGGCTGAAGTACAGCGAGAGATTATGATTAAAGGTAAATTTCAGAGATTTATACCGGACTAGTACATTGAAATAAGACTGGTTAGTTATATTTCTTATAACTATAAAAACTTATAAATTATTTTCTTGCTGTAATATGAAATAAAACCAAATTAGATGTCTAATCGGGTAAACTTTATTGTTAAATTATAAGTACACTTCTTACTTTAGTACAATCAATTGAGTATTTCGTTGATTTATTAGGTCAAGTTTCTGTTTCCTAATATACGTATTTAGTCATTGTATGGTAATTTGCAAGGGGTTACCAAAAGTTGACAATATTGTAATATAAATGTTAACTATTATAATTTTAGTCGGTAATACGGTAACTTAAAATATTCATGATTGTTACATACTATACAATATATTTTTTATTTTATTTATTTGTATAGTTTTTTTAGGTAGGGGTTTATAGTGTAATAGAGAGTTACCAATATGGAATATTACTACCGAAATGGCACTCTGGCACTGGCTTCAATATTGGTTACTCTCTCCTATATAGGTGTGGGAGGCAAACGAGCTAACGGACACTGATGGTAAACAGCTATAGCCCATGGCCACTTACTATTCAAGAGTCACAGAGCACGTGCACCCTTGAATCCCCCCCTCCTGCCAAATAAAGAGAAGAGGTTACGTTTCGATAGCCTCAGGAGCCAGACCACTTGTACTAAAGCATAGCTAATTCACGGCAACGAGAGAAGTGACTTACTTCATAAATGTCAGGAGCCTAACAACAGTTTCAATTTCTACAGCGTTATTTGGCGGATAAACTTACTAAAACTACGGAACAAATGAATTAATAATATTAAATTAATTATATAACTAAAGTAAACATTACAAAAATTAAATAAGGCTGCAAGTAAAACTTTTCTTGTCGGAAAATCAGAAGAAAGTACAATTATTATTAGTACTCAAACGGGTTTTATTAAACAGCTGCTTGATACTGAGTACTAATTGATACTGTAGAACAACCTTGTCTAGAGGGTATGCATTATTGATTCAAGTATATACATATGTACATGCATCTATGCTTATTAAGATGTTTAGTTGGTTGTCAAATTAAAACGGTGGATAGTCACGAATATTCATGTTGTTTGTAGTGCAATCAAAGTGATGTTCGTATTTTACTATACACCAAAAATGATAAAATATATCTCCGTCATACATTTATCTTTCCATCTAAAGTGTACGTGCTTTGACATTCCATTCCATCTGGAGCAAATTTTATTTTAAATTCGTGAGCTGTTTCAAAGTCGAGAGACATTTTTTGCAGAGCGATATCTTAAATCTATACGAGTATACAAACGTATACAAATCTTACAGTCTATGTACAAGCCATATTTTGGGCACTGACATTTTTAATCATTTTCTTTACAAACTGTTTTAGAATTGAAACTTAGTCTTATGAATAGAAAACGGTATCGAAGTATGATGACACAAGATGCTGTGTTTAACTAATATATATATTTTTTAAATAGCCATTGAAATAAATTTTATTTATTAAAATATCGACGAAGCTCAATCTCATCATTTAAGCATGCGTCTACATAATGGACATACGAGTACTCAAAAAAGGCTACAAGTACCGCATATTAAATTCATTCAATGTCTCTTGTAGGTCAAAACTTGCTCAATATCCAAAGGTCTTGCGAACGCATCTAAGAAACCGAAAAATAAAAATTCTCAAAGCATTAATTAAATATTTTCAGACTTATGTTGCGCTAATCAACGAATTTATTCATGAAAACAATTTTTTCCAAGTTTGGAAACATAAGAAAGTAGTGCCCTATTAAAAATGAGATTTAAAAATGAGAGTCCATGTTTCACGCCCGGCTGTGCAGACGCATATAATTAAACCAACACTATACAAAAAATGCCCAACAATGAGAGGCTTCGTCCTTGAGTCCCTAACAAAAGCTAAGAAAGGGCAAAGAAACTTGTTCGGACGAACCTTGGGACTTTCACTGACTACCTACGCATGATTTTGCTATAAAAAAAAACATCTTTACGAGAATTTAACTCCTTTTTTTAAATTCGTAGTAGCTCTTGGAATTTTGTGTAAAAAAGCAATGTATTGAAAAAATATATAAAGATACAAATTATAACTTAGTATTGGTTTTAAATGTGTATTATTAAACTTTTTCATGCATGTACTCTCTTTAAGAACATTAGTCAAACATTTGTTAACAAATTCCAACATCCAGAGATTAAACAAAATGGCTGGCAGATTTGAGAAGAGATTGATGATGATTGTCATGTCGTATGCTGGCGTGCCAATTACATTGATATGACATACACGGTTAAAACAGTATACATGCATTCATAATGTACATATAAAATGTAATACTGTGAGCGTTTATGTGGAGGCGAGTATTACCGTTACGGAGGCACATACCAGTGACGTCAACGAGGTCTTATGCCTTCGACGCTACTTGAATACGTTAGTAAATAACCGAGGACGTTTAGTTACAAAACGATTTGCTTTGATTTTAAAATAAAACAGCATTGGCAATGAAATTTCAAAACTTTTTTGATTATCTAGAATTTAAGGTCTTCTCAATTATAAATAAGAATTAATTTAAACATTTTCATTATTTCAGATCGCGATGTCTTTGGAGAGAGCAAGAAAGAAAGAGATAAACATTCTAAGGAACTCAGATTTGTGTCGTCAATTCTCGGAGGTGATGTTCCTTACGGCAGCCATAGAGGGCATGTTCTCACACAAGCAGAACGCAAACAATATTTGCCTGTTGTGACCGAAGAAAAGAAATCTGAAGACAAACCTTTAATAAAAGAAGAAAAAGATTCCCTGGACAGTGAACCGGTAGTATTGCCTTCTAGAAATAGCCCCTCTCCGGAATCGGCACCATCACCAGGTATTGACAATAGTGTTACCTGCCAAAAAGTATCAGTTATACAAAGAACACCTTCACAATCACAATTTTCAAGCAATAAAAAAGAATTATCGGATGTTAGCATTCCAAAAACGCTACCTACCGCTGAGCCTGAGCAAGAGCAACCTATAGATTACGCTATTGCAAAGAAACGTGGTGAGTCAGAAGATGAAGAGACGGAGAAAAAAATAAGGGAACAAAGAAGAACAAGCAGTTCTAAAATTGCTAACGGTATCTTACCACGGCCGTCTTTAGTACTGCGTAACTGTCCAGCAAGTAAATTACCTGGTATCATGACTGCCGCAGCCGGTCATGGTAGATCAACTGGTAATAATAGTTCAAGTGGTAATGCACAAAGCAGCGGAGGATCAAGTAATTTTAGTTCAGGCGGTGGCAGCACAGCACCCTCTTCTGGTGGCGGTGGAGCTATCGGAGGAGGCTCTGGGAGTGGTGGTAACGGACGTGACGGACGTTCAAACTATGGCCCTAACAGCCCTCCTACAGGAAGTCTTCCGCCTTTCTATGAAACTTTAGGGCCCTCTACTAAAGGGGGACAAAATTCTTTCAATGCAAATGGTACATTTGCCAACGAGTTTAATATTATCAATGGTTTCAACATGGATTGCGAAAACAATGATAATGCTACTAATTTTCCGGAACAAAGTAAACAATATTCGTTAATGCAAAATGCTCATTATGGATTAGCGTTAAAAGATGAAGAAATAGACAATTATGAAAATAAATCATTAGAAAACATAGGCACTATGGGTAACTATGGAAGTAATTTTGACGATTCTATGGTTGTGGACATGGCAGAAGATGTTATAGACAACTACCATTTTAGTAATACACTAACGTTTCCTGGGCCTAATGAAGGTATTTTAGGTAATCTATCGGATTCCGCTGACGACTTCGCTAGTTTACTAAATAATCATGTAGAATCTATTACAGATTCTGATATAAGAGAATCATCTTCCATCACGCCAGATTCAGTACATAATTCTGTGGATATCGAAACAGCATTAGGAGCGCAACTTAATTTAAGTAGACAATACTATGAAAAGAACTATTTATTAAACACAGAAAACAATGGTTCATCGTACAGTTTTGGAAAAGAAAGACCAGATTTATTAATGCAGTTAAATCCAGCTCTATTACCTCACGGAGAAGGACAAATGCAACAATTACAAATCCACGTTCAGCTTCAACAAAGGCAGCAAATACTATCTCCAGGTTTTCCCTTTACAAGTCATCCTGCACTTGATCTCGACTCACCGACCGGGACGTCACTACCATCGCCTGGCGGCAACAACTCTCTGGATGGGAACAGCCACATCGAGACAGCGTCACTCAGCCCTGCTGCAGCTGTAAGTCTCAAGAAAGGCTCTGCCGATGGCAAAATTCAAATCTTGCAACAAAGGGTAAGCATTATTTGATTTTAAGGCGAAGCTTATTTCTTTTCTTCCATGTCGTCTTTCAATAAATGATATCAGATGATGACATTGAAGTTAACAATAAATGTGTATAAACGCCGAGCCTAAATCAACTTATGCTTTAACTTACTGCACTTGAAATTTCCGTAGTCATGTCACAATAGAAATTAATGTCTTCTCTTAAATACTATTGAACAATCTTTTCTTCTTGCAGAATGATGAAGTGCATTTGAAACCTTATAATATTTTAATTTTATTTACAGTTAGGTCTACCAGCAGAACTACCCTTAGAATTTATAAACGGTGGGCATGGCGTGAAAAATCCACTAGCGACAGAAGCCAATGCACGGCAGAGAGAAGAAGAGAAAAACAAACAAATTTTGGTTAGCGAAGATGATCCCACGAAGTTTGTTTGCCGAATCTGCTCGAAAAATTTCAGCTTACAAAGGCTTTTAAATAGACACATGAAATGTCACTCAGATGTGAAGAGATACCTTTGCACGTTTTGTGGTAAAGGGTTTAATGACACATTTGATTTGAAAAGGCATACAAGAACGCACACTGGTGTCAGACCTTATAAATGCAATCTGTGTGAGAAATCTTTTACCCAAAGGTGTTCATTGGAATCCCACTGTCTCAAAGTACACGGAGTTCAACATACTTACGCTTACAAAGAAAGGAGAACTAAGGTAATCATCTTATCTATAACAATGCTTCCGAATATACGAGTACTTCACCTTAAAACCTGTTGGTTTTTCCACGTTTCAAATTAAAAGTTAACTATAGATTTCATCATTCTCAAATTATGAAAACTTTACAATACTAATTAAGATCTATTTTATTCCAGATGTATGTATGTGAAGAATGTGGACACACAACATCTGAACCTGAGGAGCATTACATGCACTTAAAAAAGCAGCACCCTTACTCTCCTGCCCTTCTGAAGTTCTACGACAAACGCCACTTCAAATTTACAAACGCAACGTTTGCCAACCAGCTCCTTGGACAGCTGCCTATGCCAGTACATAACTAAGTTTATAATATGATTAGTTTCAGAACTGTTAATATACTACTTGCAATCATTATGGACATATTTGTGCTTTGGATCAAAAATAAAACAGGGACATATCTTGTTTGGTTGTGTTCCTTACAATGTAAATTCTCCAACGTGTCCAAAACAGAGAACATTTTGTCTTTAATGAATACGAGTTTCAAAGAACAGGTACCAATTAAGGTATCATATTTTTTCAACAACATGGTTATAAAATCAATTGAATATGACACAGGAATTGTACTTAACAATACGAATTTATTCCGTCCGATTATAAATAATACAAGGTGTCTAAACCCCAATTATTAATTTAGATCAAATTGAGCTTGCACACTTAAAATTTATATAGTGATATTATCTATGTCGTCTTCCAAACTAATTTCACGGACTAAACCTGATTAAGACAAATGTCATAAACACGGTTTATTCGAAGTGCGGAACAGTATCCATGTTTTGTTCCATTGAAAAAATACCTTAATTTTTTAACAGTCACAAGTAAATTCGCCAGCCCATTTAGGGCATGACTGCAATTAAAAAATCAAAGTATCGGGTATTATGTGCAATCTTTGGTGATGGTACGGGATTAACATTAAGTGTAACATAAGTTAGACTACAAATAACTTAAGTCCGTTTATTTTATAGAAAACGTTGTAAGTTTCATTTCAAACCAGCTAGGATAGACAAATGAGATTGTTGTGACGACGATTTTTTGGTTGGTGCTACAGGCGATTAGTTAGGACGCTGACTTGAAATGAAACAATTTATGAATCGGATGACACTTCTTGTCCGATTCATGAGCAAATATCAAAGATACTCTTTGATAATAATTAAAATCCGCGGTAAGGAATCTCTTTCCTCGTTTTAGTGATACTAGCTCCTAATTATTTCACAAATTAATAAAACACAAATTATGTCACAATTTTAATTTGTATTGTACCTATAGAAAATGTTATGTTTGTTTTTGTTTGTACTTATTAATAATATCAAAATTGTTTAAATTCGATAGTGGCGCCCAACGATGGCGTTACGGTATGTCGTACCAAGTTGAACTGCATTTCTAGAAGTATTTATATTATTTAAATTAAAATGTTAGTCGTTTACAGTTCGTGCTGTGAGTGTGTGAGAATATGTGTTGTGTAAATGTGTTATTTAATGCGTCAATTGTTATAATTTTAAAAAACATCAAGACGAGCTTGATGAAGCGCTTCCAAGTTTTAAAAAGAGGGTTTTAAAGACTTAGATGCTCAATTGATATATTTGCGCTTTCACAGCGAAGCTGGTGGATATACTACATAAACAATTGTAAATATGACTAAATTTAGAAAATAGTAGTAAATTTTTGAGAAAGTAATATTATCTAATTATATTAGTAGTACCTACTTAGCATTTATGAGATTTTTAAAAAGTTAAAGTATTTTGTACAATTGGATAAGATTAATAGATCTGAATTTTATATTGGCTTATCTTTTGTCGATCCGTTGACGGTCCGTAACAATTGTGATAGCGCAATGCCTTCGTTATACAATACTTGTCTGTTGCATTTATTAGCATTTCGATATGAATTCAAACTGTATTTTAAGAGACAAACAATTTGTTACATTGTATTGATAAGCAATATATCATCAATAAAATTTTGGATGTTTTATTTTGCCTAAAAATTTTGTATCTTTATATATATTATTATATATTACTAACCTCTTCCTTTTCCATTATTTGTTAAATTCCTCTGAGTCAGTTTTCGTGATCCTTGATTTCACACGTATCTATATATTTCTAGATCACTACTAGAATAGAAAGTATAAATACGAAATATATGACACTTATAATTAATCTTTAAATGTTATTTAGGTTAGCAAGTTATGAAAAATATGATTCTTTAAATTTTTAATAAAAATACTTGAAATATTATCTGTTTTTCTTCTTTCGACTGATTGAAATTGCCTGATGGCCACAAATAAGAGACATCAAGAGTTAACAACAGTATACTTGTACTTAACATATAACAAACGCCTAAGACAATAAACATAACAACTAGCAATATTAGGGTGAAATGAGAAAATTCTGATTATCATATAATAAATAAAAAGACGTACTTCGCCATAAATAAACCAACATTTGTATAACTAAATTTGAAAAACAATCAAAAGTATGAAATGTAATATTCATTTAAGTTCTAAAAATCTACTACGAATATATTAAAAGAATAAAGTGCCATCAACAATAATATAACAGAAGCGCACCAGTGGTGTGTTGTCATATAAGTATTCAGAACAGGGATGTTAGATTGTGGTGAGCAAAAACTGGTACAGATGCCGCTAAAAGGCTCTAAAAGCTGGTATTTGAAAAAAAATATTGTACACTCACAATAACGTTATATTAATAATAATAATAAATCGTTTATTTTGCATGTTCTTTTAAATGAAATTTTAAAGTACCGAAAAAATTCTTGATTATTTGAAAATAAAATTCATACCTGATAAAACATTGAGAATAATAGTTATGATTAACATTGTAACTAATAACTGTCCGTGTGGTGACGGATTAAGAATACAGAGTGTCACCACCCCTATTCATCCCGTGGGTGTCGTAAGAGGCGACTAAGGGAGCGAAATACGCAGGACAACAGCACTGCAGAGAGAAGGAAAACTTGACACAAACCCTATACCAACCCGTCTGGCCAGCGTGGTATAGTAGGCCAAAACCTCCTTTTTAAGGAGAGGCCTATGTCCAGCAGTGGACTGTTAAAGGCTGTTGATGATGATGATGATGATTCGTTGACGTTTTTATTATTATATCTTATAAATGTCTATACATGATTTAAAAAAAAAACAACCGTGAGAACATTTTTTATATTATTTTCTGACAAAATTATTCCCGTCATCCATCGACAATTCACTCGATTTATAAAGTTAATCTGTAGTAAGTTACTCAGTGGGTCAAAAGTAAATATCGTTATGAACAGTAATTTTTTACAATAATCAATGTTGTAACTATGACGTACAGCAAGAACTTATATATTTATTAATCTCTTTAATGTACACCAATGCAGTATTATTTGTGTAGATATTATATATATTTCGGTATAACAACCGCCTGTCTTATCACTCACTCTTGATCAAATTAAGAATTACTTAGTCTAATGAAGTCAAAAAAGAAATGATAACTTCTTATGGGAGGGAAACCCCTTTGTTACGTAACGCGTTGCAGCACCAGTCTGTCTGGCTTCCCTTTCTCTCACGCATACGGCAGCGGTAGGCAGGCTCCTCCTCTCTCACTCTAACGAACAGTGCTAGCCATTTTTCGGACAGTTACTTCACATATAATTTAAGTAATATTCGTTTAAGTTTACACATCTATCGGGCGTCCTGAGACGCACACGTTTTTTTATGGATGATCAGTGTAGAAAGTTGGTATTATTGCGTACCAACACAATATTTAGTTGGCACATGGTACAGAACCCTGAAAAATGGTATTTATACCAAGAAATTGGTACGTCTAACATCCCTGATTCAGAAATATTAAGTATGTGGAGGAACCGGTGTCATGTTCGTCCCAATCCTCCCAAAAGAGAGGATTCTCCCACCAGGCAGAATAGGTGGCCTAGCTGTTTATGTTTGTAATTTAAAGCTTGTAAATCGAATAACACAACATCACATTTTAGGTACAATAGAAACGATGATTTGGAATTCACTTAAATAATGTTATAGGGGTTTGAAATAGGTAGGTATTATATCTTAATTGGTACAGGAAAGAAAAAATATATTTTTAATAGTAGGTACATATCGGCGCTAGCTTTATTCAGAACACTACACAATAATTTGAGTAATATAAACCTTATAAACCTTTTAAATAAGTTATTTAATAATCAAATTACTTCAAACAATCCAATCAGTGTCTATTGCAACTACCTATTACAAATATTTCTACTAACATCACTTAAATATGAAAACAACAATTTTTAAAGCTTAGCAGCTGCAAATATTTTGCTATAGAGAAACAGGCTAAACCGAAATAACAATTAACCTAAAATATTACTTTAACTAAATTAATAAGCCGCAAACGCTTCACAATCAGTCATCATCATCAACAGTCCTTAAAAGTCCATTGCTGGTCATAGACCTCTCCTTAGAAAGAAGGTTATGGCCCATTGTACCACGCTGGCCAGACGGGTTGTATAGGGTTTGTTCCAAATTTTCCTTCGTTTGTTTTCAGCACTGCTCTCCTGCGTAGTTTGCTCCCTTAGTCGGCTCTAACCGTATCCACACCACCAATAGGGGTGGTTACACTCCGTATTCTTAATCCGTCCGTAGTTAGCACTAGTAGCCTTATTTTAGCTTACACACAAAACCAGAAAATATATTTTATTACCAGTGGGTGTTGGGAATCGGGTTTTTTAATTAAACTACGCAAAAATTGTTCAAAAAGTTAAAATCTCAACAAGTCAGCATGAACAATTTCCGTTTTCTTTCAGAATAGTTCCGTCCTGTTTCAGAATTTTATGAGGAGTTTTGACCCTAAATTGCTTTGTGAGTAAAATGTTTACAGGCACTCATTGCTGACTGTACCAACACGTAAGAGTTACAACTATTACTGATCAGATTATTTTAGCTTTCACATAAATGACCCGAGTCCTTAGGACGGAAATTTTAAATACTATAACAGATTTATTATGATAATTTTAAATAACTTGTACATAATAATGTCAAGACAAATGCTTTCTCGAACTTAAATAGCAATGTTTCAATGTGCGATTTCACTCTATATTTTCAAATAGGCACTTATCGGGCAACAATACTCGTATTACCTACTCGACTATATTCACTTCATGGGTGTATCTTTTAGATTATTCTTTCATTAATCATTAAACAATTCATTAATAAAAGGTTAAATGAATCAATAAGTGGTTACAATTTAATTGTATTTACACAAGTAAAAAATTCAACCGCCTAATAGAAATCGTACTTCTCCACGTTTGGCGGATCGTTACATGATGTAATTTATTTCTCAATAAACAATTTTTCCAATGGAAAATATACACGGCGAAATTTTCATCCGAACCACTCCATCACTGTGCGGTTTTAAAGACACTTTTTGCCTCGCACAACCAATCTGTTATCGCCTGCGGTACGGTACGGTCTGATACGATCTTCAAACCTTTAAGAAAAGACTTGTGACTCCTGAGTTTCTAGCATTCATTGGTGGCGGTAGTCGCTTTCCATTAGGTGACGGTGAGTATATTTGGTAGGTATGAAAACAGGTCGAAAAGTATTTTTTAATACTAGGTGCGAACCTTCCACGTATTTTTGTATGATAAAACAAAAACAACTGTCAACGTTTATTAATGGCAAAGATGTTGTAAATATTAAGATTTACAAAGATTATAGGATTGTGTTTAAGACTTATTGATAAGGTTTTTTTTTGTACATGGCAAACTGTGCCAATGTCGACATGATAAGGTTGACAGCAACGACAACTCACTTGTGACAGCCAGCTGCATTGGCCGATCCAGGGCTTAAGCCCCTTAGCACCCTCCTGCCAAAAGCACCTGAGTCCTCCCATGTCAAATCTTAAATTAAATTCGATAATAGGGATATTATTTTTTGAGCATGTTTTACACTACCTGAAATACATTTTTCTTCATTAATTATCTATAACTCTTAATTATCTCTATCTATTTATATATATAAATGTTAAGTTGGTTTGTGTACGCTCAAAAACTCAAAAAGTTCTACACCGATTGAGTTTAAATTGTGATACGATATACATCACGTTTCAAATATTATTTTAAGGTATTTTTTGTGTCAGTTTTGTTCCTCATTTGTCATCAATGCACCCTCAACGTGACACAGCAAGTGTAGCAGGGTACAGCTAATCCTTAATAAGTATTGGAGTACTGAGTGAAGAGGCTACCGAGATGATGGTACATTGACTGATCGTGATGAAATCGGTCAAGGAAATTTTTTTGCACTTTTGAAATTTCACATTGACTCATCGTGCAGCTCGCCAAAAACATTTAGAGACAGCGCCTACGTATTTGAGAAAGACAACTAAAATCAGCTGATTCATTGTTTGCTATTCTGTCATTATAAAAAGGGTACTCGACAATGTCAAAGAAGCCAAATATTATACTGTCCTTGCTGACGAAAAAACCGATACCAGGCGGTCTTGGCCGCTTATTTCACGCCGAACCGAGACATAACTGAGTACTCCAGCAATGGCTCACTCAGCTTTCGTCGAGGTCTGTCGCCCCCACCCGGTTCTTGTGCTAGGGGACTTCAACGCCTGGTCGGACCTGGGGTTCCCTGCGCACGAATCCGAGGGGTAGGGCGTTGGAGAACTGGGCTGAAAGATTTGGACCAGGTCTCCTAAGCCGGGGGGCCGTGGCCACGTTCATGACGGCGAGGGGTAGTTCGATCGTGGACATATCGTTCGCGTGCCTCTTGCCACCAGTAGCCAGGGAACCGGTTGTACCCTAGAACGGAAATCCCTGGTGCCCCGACGTACCTTGGCCCAACTACGGCGGGTTGATTACCCTCTCCTGTGTGGGAACACCCATGTTCCCTTTGTGCTCCCGAAAGGGAGCGCGCTCTGCAGCACATCTCACAGCCACCCCGACCTGCTTCTGCTAGGGTGACAGATGGCCTCGTGTGTCATCCCAAAACCTACGCTTATGGAGGACGGAAGTCGTTCTGCGACCTTCGGCGCCTGAGTCGTCTTCGGTACCTGGCCCGTGCCCAGGCCTGGCGGGCCGGGAGAGTTCTAAACCTCTTCCGGTCCCGCTCCATCATCTCCTTCGCAAGCATAACCTGCTTGCAGAAGGAGACGGCGGAGTCCCACGCACTCTCGCTACTATTACTAATACTACTAAAAAACTTATAGAAGTAATCTATTAATCAATCTAGCTTTCATAGTAGCTTCGCTTAGTTTGAAGGTAGATGGCGTTGCTTGTGAGATGTCCGAGATGTTTGAAGTGTTAATACTTACACAAAATGTCCTTTTTATCATTTAAATGTTTTTATTTTATTTTATTTTAAATACAGCATCTAACTCTGGGTATAATCAAGCATGAAATCCAGCGTCGGGCGCTGCGAACGTAGTCAAAGAGGTGATTGAACAAGCTTCAAAAGGTAAACAGTGTAATTTATTTTCGCATTACTCCAGACCAATTATTCAGCCTAATTATTCTCGTCACAATCTAGTGCATTCCAAAACCATTATAACACTAATTTCTTTCACTAGACTAAAGTACTATGGGAACGCTCAAATGTTACTTGATTTATTTTGCCATGAATATCGAGTACCCTCAGAAATTCGTAGTCTGTATTTATAGTTTTCATATATAATTTCAATCTCAGTTGATAATACAATTGATCGTTTCACACGGCAAAATCGATAAGATAGACTAATGGCATACAAAATAATGTATCAAGTCACTTTATGTCAAGTTCAGTTGGCATTTCTACGTTACCTGTTAAAGATTGGTAAATCAAAATAACTAACTAAGCTATAAACACGTTGGTTTGCTTTAATAGTTTACACAATATGAGATTTTATAAAACATCGAAAAGTTGCTTCAGTAAAAAAAGTTACAAATACTGATTACCAATATTGACCGAGACACTGGCATATTTATAGAATAATATTTGTAACTTATTGACTGCAGTACCATGTGCTCGCAATGTAGAAAACCGACAAAAATGGAGGGATATCGCAAGACGTGCAGCAGCTCCGAAAGCTACGACAACTCCGGCAAAAGTGCCCAACTAGGAAGGTAGGAATAGCAACATACCGAATACATACATGTAATACTAAAGCAAATAATTATTTTAAGATGTGGGGGCAAAGGAGCAGACGTGTCACCCGATGGAAAGTAACTATACTCGTATACCGCAGCCCATGGACCTTTCGATCTTGAATATACCTGGGAATACGATCTTTTCGTAAAGCTTTGGAAATGATATTTTTTAACCATAATATTTCTAATTTAATAACCTTATTTTATGTAGTTTAGATAACACACATAGCATACAATTAAAATGTCTCGTTTTTAATATAAAAAAAGAAATTCTTTAATCCTATTACGGTCTAGATTGAAGGATGATGATTCTGTGATATTATCTACTTTATTTTCGTCGTCAAAATATGAGAGAGCCACTTGTAATTGCACGGTGATGTACACGAAGGTCGAGGCTGCTAACTTAAAGACAAATCCAGTGTTGAAGAAGAATACGTTGTAAAGCGAAATTCGAGCATCCCTGACTTCAAATGTCGCGAGGATATCTTTAGTTAGCTTCAACAATTCAACTGAAATCAAAAATATAATCACATTTATAATAACAAAAAAAATATCTACTGGGGCTAATCCCAAAATGGAGGTTATTTTATTTAAGTATTTGCGTTCGTAAAATAAAAGGCTGAAATGATTTGTATTCACTTTCGTTATTTAAAAATTATTAAATGTTGAATTTTATTTTTGCTGAAGGAGAATAACAGATATGAGAGAATGAATTCTTATAACAGAAATGGTGTTCTGGGTAGCAGTTCTGGTTAGGAAATCAAACCGTGGCTTAGCCTGAGCTGAAGTTAAGAACTGAAGTGGATTGTTGCTACCTTTCACTTTATCGGCATTTTAATATATCAGCACCTTGACAGTATGGAAAATATTTATTCGTATGAAGAATATATACGACATATCAGGGAATTAACAAGTATTTAAAGTGATTAGTTAAATAAATAAATATTAAACCAACTTTAGCCTTTTGCTAGTTGAAAAATAAGTAATATACAGAAAGAAATGAACTACTTACCAGGAGTTGAAGGCTTTAGCTGTACATAAGCACAAATAAGTTTAGTTTGTTCTATCTGCTTTTGAAACATGTCAAGAAATAAACTAAATATGACTATAAAGGCCCAGGTAGCGATAGCCCAAGATGCTATGCCGGCAGTTCTCTTCACCTTTGACTGAAAATATTTTTTTATTATAATATTTCTACACATCGTAGATACGGCCGCCTGATTCCAAAACTAGGTGGCCTGTGCTATGATAACCAGACTGGTGATAAACATTCTATTGCTACTATTCTACTAAAGTACACTCATATATACAGCAAAATGATCATGCTCATCACACAGTATTTGTCATGAGGGGGAATCCAAAACGAGACTTTCGGCTTAGCAGTCTCGATCGAATGCCAAAGCTATGGGCAATATCCACATGAGCTACCAACTGGCCAGGGCTTCAAGATCAATACTAAAGCTAATTCAAGGAGTATCAGTACAAATTGCAAACTACTTTGACAACTTAAACAGGGCAAAACATGAAGTGGAGCTTGACATAAAATCTTACCAATATTCTAGAAATATCTTTAAAGAGAAGCGCGGACAACTTCATCTAACGGCCGATTAAATCTACGAACACTATAAAACTATGTACGTGGCGCAAACACATTAGAAGACCTTTCATAAACCAAACACAAAACCCCACGAGCCCTCGTTTCAAATGTGATAGTAACCCGCCAACCTTAGAAGAAATAGATACCCAATTTAGGAAGAAAAAATCAAAATCAGCTTCAGGGCCTTACGGTTTACCATGTGTAGTATAAAAAATGTCCATCAGGGCGTAAACACCTTCTTAGTATATTCTGCAACATCTGATCGAGCAAAGAAATACCAACCTTTGGAAAAGTTAATTTTGTCTTCATTCCTAAGAAAAGTGGAGTAATAGATCTATTACAGATCTCAGGGGCACTAGACCGATATCCCTTACCAGTAGAATTTCTAAAATATTTTCTCCTGTCTTCAATTTAAAATAGTACAGTTTATATCAAACAATAATTTCAATTTCTCAACTGGCAGTTTCTGGTACACGATATAAACCAAAACCACTTAAGAACGCTAAGACATTGAAGTCGTGGCTTGGATAAAACCATCTACAGACTCATCAACGTTGTACAGGGCCTCGAATAAGTTTAAAATGTAATTAAAAAAACCTTCGGAAATCTACAAACATCTAAGAGTTACCAAAATGCATGTCTTGCTAAAATCACAGGACGAAATCGTTAGATTGTCGTTAGACAACAATTCATCAGAGCTCGCTCGCTCGTCGCGACTCCATTTCCACAAGAAATTTATGGTGGGTACGCAGTCCGGTAGAGTTGGATTGGAAAACGCTAGAAGACAGACCGACAAAGAGATAACCAAATCAACCATTTCTTATAACAAGACGAAAACGCGACATGCAGAATGAATGGTTAACTATAGGAGAATTTTGTATCTCAACAATTTTGAAATGGCGCACACTTTTATACGATTAGTCTAGTTAGCTTTAGTTAGTTTTTGGCGCACACTTTTATAGTTAAATACCTGAAAGGTTGCGCTATAAGACCGTAGTCACTATTCACGTCGCCATGATAGGATATTACAAATGAGAGCGAAAAAAGGAATAACAATAAACATAAGAACTAAAAGCGAGTGTGTAAAGGAAGGCTCAACAAAAAAGACTTCACAAAAGCCGTACTCAATTATGAATACCGCCAGTGACTGGACTTTATTAGTGGACACGTATGAAAATCATTACAGGAGGAGGAGGATTTCTGTGCCTCGGTGTCCAGACCAGACAAACTTCTTAATGCAATGTCGATTAAGCGTGTAGTACTAGTAGAACTCACGGTGCCATGGGAAATGAACACTCCTAAAGACCACGCTTTAAACAGAAACAAGTACTTTGACTGAACCAACTAAATAACTAAAAATGGTTATTTCGTTGCGTTGTATGCCGTGGAAGTGGGTGCAAGGGGTATAACAATCAACACATCAAAACACAACAGCTAAATCCTCCTATAACCTGCTTAAAGACCTTGGATTGCCAAGAGCTTCAATAAGCTCTTTTCTTGAACAAATATGCAAAGCGGCATCGTATCAAATATGGTCAGGTAGAGCGGGAGAAACAGAACAGTCAATGGAGGTGAGCTCTGAAGCATCACAAGGAGTACTCCCTAAACCTATTCCTGGGTCGCAATTCCCAGGCGCTGTCGAAGTCGCACGTGATGCCCTTATCTATCACGCGATGGACCCGGCACCCTCACGGCCAATCCATGGAACGCTAAAAAATAGGTATTTTACTAACACATCATAATCAACATGATCATCTCAGCTAAAAACGGCCACTGCTGGACATATGACTCCCCCAAAATTTTTGCCACAACAGGCGGTCGTTTGCTGCCCGCCTCCAATGACTTCCTGCGATCTTCCCCAGGTCATCGGACCTCCTAGTGGGGTCATTATTACATAATAACTAGCTTATGCCTGAAGCTTCGCTAATACTTTGTTTTAACAACAACAGTTTAATACATACCAAATTACACTTACTTACCGAATCTTGAAGGTACAAAATAAAAGTTTGGACAGTTACAAATGTACCACTGATAGAAGTAAATAAACCACTAGAAACCTGAAAATGAGGATTTAAATCTATTAAAATGTGTAATATTGCCTATTGTACACAATAGGCATTATTACGTTGTTTTCCATTGTTCTTTGTTAATTAATTTGGGTGCTAAAACTCAGTACCCTAAACAATAATAAATATTAGGTTCTCAGTGAAAGTATAATCTTTGGAGTTTCATTGCTGTCGTCATAGGGAAAATAGTCTCAATAGTGTAGTTATAGCTTAATTTACTCTGTTTATTCACATCAGTTATCAAGAAAAAGAAATGTGAAGAAATACTTACAGGATATTCATAACAACGCTCTAAATACCGTAATTGATTGAACAACATCTTAAATGCAACAACAATTTTTTTACTTTCAGCTCGATTGTGGAAGGTAACACAATCATCGTACTTATTGCGCCAAAACAATTTATACAAAAGAGATTGTTTAGGAATGTACTCCATATTCATATTATTGACTTTTAACAAAGCCAAGTTTATGTACCGAGCTCTAAAGGTTAAGAACAAAAAAGAATACAAACAGAAACAAAAGTCATAGTAACAGAAGAATATCCAAAAGAAATATGAAGATCCAAGAAAATGGATTAAAAGAGATACCTGGAATAAATAATAAATATAACACACAACGCCTACTTGAACAAAAGTTATTAAGACAATTAAAGTTTTAAAACTTTTGATTTCTAAATTTCGCATAAACTCTGTTTCCTTAGCTCCAAGGAAGCAATCAATTTCTATACTATTTAGTATCGAATCAGGACCGATGTATCTATCAATGAAAGTTATATGAAATAGCAATAAATTTGCAAATATCGAGAATAGTATTATTGTGATCAATTCAGCTGTGGTTAAATCTTCATCACTGCGGTTTGAATTCCACACCATTGCAGTGGCACATACATCAGCAGTAATTACGATAAATATGTTGTAAAACACTGAATACCAGTTTCTTGTTACGATTTTGCCATTCCTTATAATAAATCTACAAAACCCACTCGCTTCTAAAATTCGAAATATTGTTAAGAATCCTTTGACATACTCCTCCATTAGTTGATCTTTCTCGGTATAAACCATTTTTGATAGTGGACGTACAAAGCGATGGTGTAGACTAATGGGCAGTAATTACTTTTACTCATATATGTATACCTTTTACGGCAATTATAATGATGTAACTGTCCCACGGTAGACGCTCTTGAATCAATTTCATTAATTTTACTCTAGTCTTGAGAATATTTCCCTATAATTACTAAATAATTACTTATGGTACCTTTTGACTTCAGATCATGATTTTATAATTGCAATTTGATAGTGTTTTTTATAAATATATATGAGAAATTTAACTGACCTAAATTACCAGTAAGTGATTATTTTTATCGCACGGTATTAAAATCCATTAGACGGCCATGTTCAGGGACATGGGAACGATAACTTCAATTTTTTTTACTAAGCTTATGATTATAAATTACAATAAGCTTCTTTTTTCATTCCTTAATTTATGATCGTAATATCGTTTATCCCCCATTAGGCAGTACCATCAGCGTAGCGTTGCTTAATTTTGCTGTTACTCGTGAAAAGCAGCTAAACACACTTTGTTTTCAAAGATACCCGATACCCAAGCTTTACAAAATTATATTGTAAATTACATAAATTAGCCAAATTGACTTCAGGTTAAGCGAATATTCAATAGTTTATGAATCAAAGAGGTAATAATAGTTACTTGTTTTCCATATCAAAAAGTCATAGATGAGACTATTGATTAGACACAATATATCAATAACATGTTTATCAAATTCATGCACTTTTTTAAACTTACTCTTATAGGTATTGTAAATATAACATCTGTGTATATATAATTGTATATCTATAATATCTTTAGTACTATTGCAGGTGTTGTAAATATATGTTACTAATAAAGTAAGTTGCTTTAAGTAACAGATGTGAACAACACCAAGGAAGCAACAAACGTAAATTAGTGACGCTAAAAAAATAATTAGAGGTAAGCCACTTAGAAGATATTTTTAATATTTTCTTCTAAATATTTAAGTGGCATAGTAAACATCTGCTGTTATTGCCTGACCAGACCTGAGAAAGCTGTAGTGAGTAACAACAGTAGTAAACAGCCCCGTATTCACTCACTGATGCTGAATACGGGGCTGTTTATTTTCATGCATGTTATGGAACAGCTATGTATAAAATTGACTGTTGTGTATCCATTATGACACTGGAACTAATTGCAATCTTAAAGGCTATGAGCGAAGCTGTTTCGCTAAATAGTGACCGAATAGTTATCTTAACTGATAGTTAAAGTACTTTGCAGCATATTGCGATAGCTTATGTGGTGCTAAAGCAAATTCATGAATTCACTTCATCTGGGAAAACTTTGGGTATGAAATGGGTTCGTTCTCCTATTGGGCTTCGGGGTAACGAGCAGGCTGATTCGTTGGCTAAGCTAGCGTGTACTGACGTAATAAATTTCGCGATTAAAATATCTTACTATGAATAATTAAGCAACATTAAAAAGCTATATAATAGACATTACAAACAATATTTTGATGAGAGAAGTAGGGAAAAGGGCATTTGGTATAAAACCATTCAACTTCAGCCTGCTAGGATGCCCTGGATTATTAACCGTATTAAGTTCGCTGCGCTCAGGCCACTATCCATCTAGAAAGGCCATAAACAAAAAAGCCATAACCATCTAGCAATAAAATGAAGGAGTGTGTGAAAGAGGATGTGGAGTGATCAAGAAGAATGGGAGAAGAAAATCCATTGCATCAACCCCAAATATATTTAGAAAATAGGTAGAAGATAGGCTTATTTTTAGGAAAAAGACAACAAACAAACTTCACGTGCCCTTAATTTCTTAGCGTTACCTCCGGAATGCGTCGCACCTCCAGCCAAGCCTGTTTCTTCTAAGGTGACAGAATAAGGCCATCTTCCCAGGCCATCATCCCAGGCTTGGTGAAATTAACTCTGATTTTTACATTACCGGCGTGAGCTTTGCGGCTCTTGAATCTTCATGAGCAGGTTGAACACGGAAACACCATTAAAGCCAACTTTTTATAAAAAAAGCTTTTTAAAACAACAGTCAATAGAAATACATATGAAATGTAAAATAATATAATTTAAAGAATAAAAAAAACATGACATGAAGTCAAATAGCACCTTAGACAATTATTTAGCACTTATTGAATAAATATCCATAATACTCTCGAGTAAATTAATGAAATTGATTAACGATAGTTAGTTTCTACCCTGGGACAATTCATCATCATTAAAGGTATTAATGAAAATAATATCACAAAAACATCTATTTATTTTTAGTTTGAGAAAGAAGAAGTTTTTGAGGAATAGGTACATAACAGGATTCTTTGTAATATTTTTTATTCTAAAAGATGTTCAAAATGCACTTGCCATTTTGTAGATTTAGTTACTCAGTGTAATGCAACATTTTACAATGATTATTATTTAAAATAAAAGAGTAGAACGCCCATTTCCATTTATGTCTTTTAGCAGTTTTTTCATTATAAAAATCATCAAAGTTTGACTTGAAATGCCTGACGAAAAGTTTATACGTTAAGTTTCACCTACATAGAAATAAAGATTTCGACTTGGTGGAGTCAAGCTGAGAGCTTGCCTCCCAACTGTATACTTACGTTGTCGGCGTGGGGTGGCTTGCGCGAGTCAGTGATCTCTGAGGCTATGCCGGTAGAGTCACACATGTGGCACGGATTGACTCAGAGGGAGACTCCAGACTAAGAAGGATACTCGGTGGGGCCCTTCTTGGGTCACCGATAGTTTCTCCACTGTCCAAAGTGAAGGAACGACGACGGGCTCGGTGAGCCCGAGCAGGATATGGGGACTGTCTCCTTGCCGGCGTTGGCCACCCGGACAGCGAGGGAGAAAACCTCTTTAAAAAAATTACTCCGAATCCCGTGTTCTAGTGCGTGGCCAAGGGATACATGGCTGATGGGTAGTTCAGTCGCAAGCGCACTCCCAGCCGGGGCACCTGCGGACCCCTCGGTTGGGTATAAATCTACGCTTGCCCGGGTATTGGGGGATCTCTGCCCGGGTTGAACTTCATTTCTCCCCCACTCGTGGGATCATTTATGCAGTCTATCAATAATGAAAACTCCAGCACTCAGACGGACACACTGGAAATGGATCTATGCGACAGCCGGAAGCGCGGACGCTCCAGGGATGAGAACGCGTCACTGCCACTGCAAGCATCCGTCGAGTGAGGTCACGAACGCCGGTCTCGGACCCATATAGACGAGTCAGGGCGTACGGCGAAAACGTAGCGGAAGAGGTGATCGCTGATCTCCTGTTAAAAGTTAAGGAGCCCATGGTAGGGTATTCTGTCCCCCAAACACCATCGGCCATGCAGGTGAGAGCTAGAGCGGCGGTGGCTATCATCCACAAGGTAGTCACCAAGTTTAAAGGTTCTTTTGTGAGGGCTCTTAAGGGCTCCTCTTGCGCTATTGCTGGGGTCGTGAAGACCCTTATTGGAGACGTGTCTCGTCGTCGTTAACGACCGCCTGACGAGGCAGGTGGCTGAGCTCAGTGCTCAGTTTGCACAATTTCGGGGAGGTTGTAGAGACGGGCTAGTAATGAACCAAGTCTCCAACCTCCTTTTCCAGACGAACGTGAAACAGGATGCGCAGGATCTCTTTCTGCAAACCATGGCGCAGTGATCGATCGGTGTGGCCGTAGCCGCGGAACCCTATTATGTTCCTCCCCATCCAAATTGTATTTTTGTGCTGCAAAAGAGAGCGATTCCAGCACTTTATAATTTAGGCAATCGTTGTTCATTGAGGCAGAAATTTAAAGAAATAAACATAATGACAGTGGCAAGTCAATATATTTATAAAAATGTAATATATGTTCATAAAAACAAAGGTAGCTTTTTGAAAAAAGTGATGTACATTCTATAAATACCAAAAATAGAAATAAACTGGTAGTACCCGCCTTTAGGCTCCAAAAGATAAACAAGTCTTTTCGAGGTCAATGTGTCCGATTTTATAATAAAATCCCAAATAATATTCAAGACTTAAGTATTAACAAATTTAAATCCGCAATAAAACGAGGCTTGTGCCAGAGCGCCTACTACTCAATTGTGGATTATATAGAAGACAAAAATGCTTGGGATTAATTAGCGCAGGCCATTTCTTTCTTGAGTAAAAATGTGGTGTGGGCTAGTGTGTTTTTTATTGTTATTATTTTTTCTTTTCTTTATGTTTCACTGAATTTTCTCTTTTATTCGATTTTTTTTCTTAATCTTTTTTTCTCTTCATTGTCTTTTTACCTTTTAGTCCTTAATAACGGACATC